CAAACTCAAAGCTTTCCGTACGCGTTTTGACCCAGACGGGCTCGGGTTGGGGACAGGGTCTCGTTCAGCGATGTACCGGTGGCCAGAGCTCAAAAGTCAAAGGGTTAAAACTAAAACCCGGGACAGTAATAATAAAATAATAGACAGCATTTGTTTAGCGCAAATCCCCGCTCAACGTCAAGCTTTTGCGTTTCATAATCTGTACTATTACCACAGCAGGCCGGAGAGAATTCTGAAACAACCTCAAATTCCCGGGAGAAGCATACATACAGTGCAAGCGGCCACTTATAGGCGCTAAAACTAGTAAAACACAACCCGGTAACATACTGACAAAAAATCCGGGACAGTTGACACATCCGGTATACAGACATCCTTCTTTTTATTAAGTACCGTAAAAGTTTTACGACACTTGCAACACAATAAGGTCATATGTATACGTGCCGAAGAATAGATGTGCGTTACAAGAGAGTAACAAACACAGAAAAGAAGGAGGGGAGATAGAGACGATAGAATTTTTATAGGAAAGAAGGAGCAAAGCACACCAAAGCACCCGTCAACCACCCACATTAAAACCCCTGATTTCCAAACCCGGGACAGTTGTCACACCTGGTGTACAGCTGATATCCTCACACCACATCTCAACCATCCAAATAACGTGCTTTCCGGGCGCGTTTTGTCCCAGTCGGGCTCGGGTTGGGGACAGGGTCTCGTTCGCCGCTGTACCGGTGGCCAGAGCTCAAAAGTCCAAGGGTTAAAACTAAATATCCTTGATTGCTAAACCCTGGACAGTAATAATAAAATTATAATAGAGAGCATTTGTATAGCGCAAATCCCCCGCTCAACAGCAAGGTCTATGCGCTTTACAATCTACGATATTATAACTTATTACTACTACTACAGCAGACCTGAGACCAGTCTGAAACAACCTCAACTTCCTGGGAAGCATACAGTGCAAGCGGCCATTTATAGGCGCTAAAACACTGACATACTGAAAAGAAACTCCGGACTGTGGGCACACCGGGTATACAGACATCCTCCAACTTAATTTTAGTACGAGTTTTACGGCACTTGCAACACAATAAGGCCATATAAGTGCGTGTTACAAGAGGAAACACAGAAAAAGGAAGACGATAGATTAGTTTTATAGAGGAAAGGAGCAAACCACACCACAGCACCCACCAACCACCCACGTCAAAATCCCTGATGATTGCCAAACCCAGGACAGTTGTTTATAGTTTTAGTAGGGTTTTTTTTTAGTACCGTAGAGGGTTTTACGGCGCTGGCAACTGCATAAGGTCATATGAGCGCCAAGGGGTGGATGTCAACAGAGAAGTCTTTACAGGGAATCAGACTTAGACTGCTCATCTCTCTAGCTTCAACAGCACAATGTCTGTTTCGACTATCAAGGCACCCCAAAATAGCAGGTCACAAGAGAGTGACAAACATACAAACGAAGTAGAGGAAAATGACAATAGTAAGAATCAGGAAAGAAAAAGCAGCAGTTCCCTGTTGTAGATCAGGTACAGTTATGAGCGTGACATGAATCAGCCCATTTACAATTCTACTATGCTTGAACGAGAAATGTCACCCCTTTGGGAATGGCATAAAGACACTAGTCAGTGGCACTGCCACGAGGGGGTTAGTAGAGGTTTTACGGCGCTCACAACTGCATAAGGTCATATGAGCGCCAGAAGATTAGAGATGTTACAAGAGAGTAACACGCATAAAAAAGAAGACAGGGAGATAAGGACGATAGATGTTTCATAGGAAAGAAGAAGCAAACCGCACCAGAGCACCCGCCAATCACCCACATTAAAATCCCTGGTTGCCAAACCCGGGACAGTAGCAAGAAATGTGACACAGTTGTCACAACTGGTACATGTGTATACAGACATCCTCTCACACCACATCTCAATCATTCAAATAACGTGAAGCAACGCCAGGTATATTGCGATAAAAATCACAGTTTAGTAGGAAAAGCCTTCGGTGTATGGAACTTACATTATAATTTATTTTTTTTATTTCAAATATACGGCATGCGACAAGTAAAGAACAGAGGCGGAAACGAAAGAAAGATCCAGACAAAAAACAACAACAACAACAACAAAACCAACCAAAAAAAACCCAACCCTTCAACAACAAATACATTTTTAAAAATAAACAACTACAAAAAATTTAATTTATTCCCAACTCTATCTCCCCATGACACACAAACGACGAGGGCAAATAAAAGGTTTGTAAATCGGACTAGTCACAGAACATCGTACACTGCCACACGATGGGATCTCCCCCCAGGCCTACAGTCCCTAGCTAGAGCTAGAAGTTAAAGTTCCACGCAATAACACATTGTGCAAAAAGTCCACCCCAAAAGTTACTGTACTGTAAATTTCTCCATTAATTTATCCTTGTGATTAATTATAATTAAACTTAAACGCTTGGGACTACTACAAATTTATCGCAGGCTCATGGAAATGGCTTAGCGTCTTCAGTCAACAATTATATCCTCACCACCAATAAAACCGTCACTGTGACGCCCCCAGGCCTACAGTCCCTTGCATGAAAGTACAAATACCCAAACAGGCAGTCTGAAAATGTCTCAGTCAGTAAAGCGCCTGCACCAATGTAATTTGTCAAATCATTGGGAAGTACATAATGGTGCATTGGTACCGAACAATAATTACAAACCGCAGAAATTTCTTCAGCTCTGGTACTCAGCACTCAATACTTAAAGGAATTCCTTGCGTTTTGCATAAACTTACCCCGCCCAGGAGACTCGACAAGTTTTGTGCAGGATCAAACAACAACGTTCGACAAAGTTGTCAAAAATAACCTTCGAAAAAGGTAGTAAAATAAAATTTACTTCTAAAACGTTCGAGACTAAAACTACTTTTTTAAAAATAGTGTCAACCTTCTCTTTAAGATATCCAGTGTCTCTAAAAATAACTTTGTATAAATAAATAAGTTCAATTCCATTTAAAATAACCCAAAAAAAAGTTTACAGCCTCCAAAAATTGATTAAAATACCAGTCTAAACTATTTCTGAAATGAAAAGGTCCAACATCCCAAGAGTATGCTCAAAATCAGTGATAGTGATAGATTATAGATGCTTTTCCAGAAGAAAAAATATAATACTGATACATGTATAAGGTTCAGAAGAATCGAATTATAATTTTTATAGAGACCTAAAAAAAAGCAACTCCACTTTTTACTACTACTACTACTACCGGTACTACTACTATGTGCTGCTCTAAAACCAACAACTATACGCCCTTGGAAAAACAGGGCAAGATATTCAGGGATGTCACAGGATTTTGTGGAAATACCTGAGTATTTACAAAGTCGCATTTGAGAGAAAAAAAAAGGGCATTTGATAGACTGATGATAGACACAACTAAAACAGAGCTGAAAAGAAAAGTGCTAAGAATAATAATAACTATTTTTCTAGTTCTAATGAAGAAAACCCAGAAAAACAACATCTCTGGTTATTGTACGAGAAACAGGGAGATCTCGTCTTTGTCCTGACCAAAGCCGACTCATTGGCCCCAAGTCGTTTATCAGCCAATCAGCTCCATGTGGTCAGCAAATCTGACAGCTAGAGGGAAAACACACTAAAAAAACAGGTAAATACAAATATCTACACGTCTTCTTCTTCTTCTAGAGCCCGATCTGAGGCAGACATCAGCCGCCATAGTTCACAACTCGGTTTATCTTCCTGGATGTTCTCAAAACAGTGACACCATCCTGGTCTTTAGTAAGCAAGTGTGTATGGGTTTAACATTTTTAGTACAATCTGCAACTTAAGTCGCCAGGCTGTAGTATGTGCGCTCATTACCACTAGCGACTTCAGTCAGAACAGCATCATCATAAAGTAATGCTCGTCAGAACAATTTAGGCAGCTGGCGACCGTCACTACAACTACCGTACAACTTGATACGACAAAACCAGTCCGGGTTCAGTCTATTCCTTGTCCTACTTCCGATCTACCTGCAGTTACTGCGGAGATTCAAATTCAAACGACCACCTTTGTATGGGCCAAGTACTACTATTAACTAAGTACGAAAGCTTGTGTGAGTGAGACAGGTACAGGTTAAGCATTAGCAAGAGAAAAAAAGATGCTATAGACCGCCCTACAGAAAGCAAGTGACATACAATAGAATTATATCCAAGAGCAGGGGTTTCAAACTCAAACTATCTGGGGGAGGGGGGGGGGGGGGGGAAGGTAAAGTCTTGGTGAGCCTGGGCCGCATCAAGTGTTTTTGTTGGGTTTTTTTTTTTGTGTCGAGGGGGGGGGGGGGGCTGGTTTTAGTTTCAGTGAGGAGTTTTACGGGTCTTACAACAACACAAATAGGTTATATAAGTGCTGAAGATTTTTCAAGTATTACTCGAGAAAAATGTACAAAGAAAAGAAGGACGAGAGATAAGGACGCTAGATGTTTGATAGGAAAGAAGGAGCAAACCCTACCAGAATCACCCACTACAAAGTTTGAGACCCCTGTTCCAAGTGGAAGCCAGAAAAGATACGATACTACGAGTGTTGATCCACCTACAGCAGCAAGCACAAGCTACACGTCCCTACCACGACTACTGCGCTATGTACATTTTCTCTTTCCCTGACGAGACAAAACAAAAGCTGCTAGGCCATGAATAGTCACTGCCAGAATCTAAGAGAACAAACAAAACACTAATGTGTATCTATGGCACTTACGACAGGCTTGCCAACTTTTTCAAAACCCAGTCAGGAACTCCCCAAGTTTTTATATATAATATTATTGTATAGTATAAAAGTGTCATTTCAGAGGACCAAAAAACACACAAAATCACATAAAGTGAGACTGCGTTTGGGGAATGTAGCCTATCATGGCGCTCAAATTTCTGATTACTGAATCCAGGACAGTCCCGGGGAAATTCAGGACAGTCACAGGCTTGTATTTATCAAACGTAGGACCTGACACTCAAAACTGGCTTACCATTTACAAATGGAACACAGGAATACAAGTCAATTAAGTAGATTAATAAATGTTATATTTTTTCCAGAGAAATTTCCAATACATATTTCAAAATATATCTCCTTACATTGCTTTGTATAATTTCAATTGTTTTTTCACACTTTCCAAAAACTTCTCTCACCAACCAACAACCAATGAGAGCGACACGTCGTGTGTTCTGCGAGAGACGTGCACGTCCCAGATGGCAAATGAAAACACTCATGGCCTGGCCAAGTTTTAGTTTAGCTAATCTATCCACACAAAAAAAAGCACATGGCGAAAGTTTCTTCCAAACCCTGCCATACTGAGGTCAGACAAAATTAATTATTCTTTCTTGAACTTTTATTTGTATTGAAAAAAAAAAAAAATTTCACTACTGTAGCTACAGGTGGAAGGCGTCTGCCGAAGACTACAACAACGACGTACAAACAACGGCAGATAGAAAGAAGAAATAACGTGAAATAAAATTCTGGGCTAGAATGGACAAAACCAATACATCGGGTGATTGTAAATTGCACTAACACAGTGGAAGGTATAAATAGCAGTGTACAGAAAGTATGCAGCATGTACAAACAGTCTTCAATTACAGCAACGTACAAATGGTCGCTTTCAAGGACAAGCGAGGTAACCCAGATTTTAGGGGTTTGTAGAAATCTTGACCCACACTTAAAGCGGGCATTGCCCTACCTGTAGGAGAAGTTTGGTTTCATTGGTGCGTATATTTGTTTGGTTATAAGAGAAAACTCTCCTTGTCTTTTAAATTTTAAAGTATTAAAGAAACTGAACAAGGGGCAAAAACTATACCTTCGATTTTCTCGAAACAGTATTTTTCAGGATAGCCCCCTTGTGCTTAAAAGGGACCAAATTACGCCTACAAAATAAACAAAACAAAACAAAAACGAACATAAATAACCCAGAAAAACATCTAAAAAATAAAACACCCATCGATCACAATTAAGTCAAGCCAGTGTCAGATCTGAAGCAACGGTCCACACCATCAAGTGTGATTTTCTCTAAAAATAGATCGAAAACAATCGGTTACTCACAAGCAGCATAACTGCGGGAGGCTTAACTTTTTGCCTTAACATTAAAAAAGCCCCACATATAACAAACAGAAAAGCTTCAGCAAAGAAAGAGATAAAATTTAATAATAGAGCATTCAGAAACACAACACACAGAAGCACGCGCTCACAGAAAAGGTCAAAACAGAAATGAATTCAAAATGAACACAGAGAACCCAAGCCTTACTTAAAACACAGATAGGAAAGAAATCACACTGGTAGAGTCTATCTAGGCAGACTGTACCGTACGAATGTAAACAAACATATTGCATAGCTGACACAGGAACAGTCCCCACCGCTTTCTGTCTGTCTGTCTGTCTGTCCGTCTGTCTGTCAGTCAGTCTAGCTGTCCGTCTGTCTATCTGCCAACATACAAAAAGTTGGCACCAAAGCAAAAAGGCACAGAATTCAGAAACAAAAAATCCTACTTCTCCCTATCAAAAAAAATAAATTCAGCCCCTACGTCACAAGTTTTTTTTAAATTGTAAATAATTTGGGGAAGACATCAACTGAATAATACATCTTCGTCCAGCTTTGATGCAAACTTTCAAACTGGAACCAAGACATTCAAACACTTAGGAAACTGAAAGCGGTTTTGGTGGGTGGATGGGTGGGGTGCAGATAAAACGATAATGGCAACAGTAGCAAAAGATAGTACGGTACCTATTTATAGCTGGCTGGCACAAGTGTTATTATGTGATATCTCAGCGTAGATAACTCGGGGGCAAGAACGTCTACACAACAGTATATTATGCCGAGCATATAGAACAACATATACTTGGGTGGGGGTTTACATTCTTCTTCTTCTTCCTCATTTTCGATGACAGCAGCTAAACAGTCAGTCCGATGTCACGCGCAAACTGTGCAGTCCGCTTCAAATCTGAGAGACTGCCATACAGCTGTCTCTCAAGGGGAGTCACATTCTGCCACGTCTGCGTTCGAAGGGAGGCGTAGTGCGGGCAGTGCTGAAGGATATGGTAGGCATGCTCTTGGTCGTGTCCACATTCACAGATCGTGGACTGTCCCACTTGTAATTTAGCGTGGGGTTTACATGATTATTGCTGTTTGAGAATTGCTGCACAAGAAAGAAACGACGCACACCGAGTCTGACTTCCTCTTTCTTTCTAATAATTTCATGTACGTGCTGGGGGGTTTTTTTTACACCTCATCGACACAATTTAGATCATTTAGGAGGCCGGCTTCCGACCCTGCCACTCAGGACCAGTCTGGGGACTGAGAGGGGGGGGATACAACATCTCGGCAGAAAGGCCGAGATACTCGATGAAGATTCTCCCCACACCTCATCACGCTTCACCACGACTCAACTTTGTTAAATACTTTAAAACAACATGATAATATGAATAGTTGACATTTGAATACTTTATAATAAGTACACTAGAGGTGGGGACCGGGATAGGTTGACAAAAAACAACAAAAGAAACTGAAGCAAGGACTGTTGTAAACGACTACCATAACAAGTAGCGTTGAAGAAACAATACTGAACAACAAATTTTTAAAAAGAAACTTCAGTGGCGAGCTGCTGAGGCTACACTATGATACAAATTACAAGACACACAACAACAAAATTGGTTTTAAAGCATAATTATTATTGCCAGCTGTCATACTGCTCAAATTAAAACAAACAAATGAGGTAATACAAACATTTAAAAAAAGGAAGCATCATTCACTCTCAAGTTCCCAGTTTCGTTGTGCCCACTATGAAAGCCACTAATTCGACAAGCATAGACAATATTTAAAAAACGACCTAACATCTTTCCCCTCCCTCTCCATAAGAAAAAACGACTAAAACCTTTCACAAAGAACAAACATTTCACCGCACAAACAAAGAGCAGCCTGACGCCAAGGTCAGACGTACTCTCTAGCACCAGTCTGTGAAATCTTAGAAAACAAAACTACAAAAACAATCAAACAATCCAACAGATTCTCACACACACACATATCGGCGACCGGCTGTTCAAATGTACAAAGCCCAAAAGTCTGGAAATTTTTATTTTTTTAAATTTTCTTAACGGTTTCATGAGCTCGAAAAATATTTCGAAGCAATTCAAACTCTAAATAATGAAAAAAATAAACACACCAATTCACATAAAGTAGGTACGGGCACGATTCCTTTGATGAAACTTTTTTCCTCTCAACTGAAAAATATGGTTTCTTGGGCTTAAGAACATTTGAAGAGCATGTCGCAGAGATCCGACCAGCTCACTCAGGGACTGTCTACCTATCGCCCACTCACTGACCACCACTCTACGGTACTAAAGACAAACAAACAAACAACATGGCGACGGACTCGGTGAAAAGCTACCAGTGGTGTACTGTAATAAATGCATGTGTGGTTGGTAGCTCGCCTCACCCGTTGTGACACCAAACATCTACAGCAGTCCACACAGACATACGCTACAGTGAAAACTGTGAAGTGAGAAATGACTGGTTCGTAACAGCACACCGGAACACGAAGAAGTGACAGTGTCACGCACGTCTTTGCTACTGTCTGTTTCTTAGATTTTAAAAAACAACTAAACTCAAACCCTTAGACGGCTCTATAAGGAGGCTGACAAATTTTCAAAAACACACAGAATGTAACTTTATGATCAAGTCAAATGCGCAAGAAGGAAATTCGGTAACATATTTCAAATTGTCTTTTTAAAACAGTTATAAAACTGATGGTTTTCCCTTTTCCGAATCCGCCTCTTAAAAATAGAATCACGTGCGCCAGAATGAAAAAAATGGTGTCTCCATCCTCCTGGACAAACGTGCCATGAATCAACGACAACCCTGTCCACAAACTCTATTTATTAAAATTCAAACCACAGTGCAGAAGTGACTCAACCATGACTCGAGACACTTTACGAAAGCTACGACTAAAGATATTCTTTACCTCCACAAACACCACCGTCACAATTTGGTCTTACAAAAATGTCACAGGAGGTCTTTGAACTTCCCCGACATTTGGTTTCAGTTCATACATTTTCAGTTCATGTAATTTTTAAAAATCGAACAGAAATTAAACTGAAAGTTGTAATTTCACTACAATCACTGATTAAGATGGAGACAATTTAAAAAAAAAAAAAATGTTGATTTTAAAAACAAAGACGGATTGTGCGAAAAATCAGTCTAGCGTGTAAAAACAAAAAAACAACTTTCATGTTTCACATCAACAACAGAAGGAACGTCGCAGTGACAAATTGTTCAAACGGCTGTCTAGAAAGATACAGAAATACCCCCCCCCCCCCCGACTTTTGCGTCTCTTACGGCGCCTACACCATAAAAACTAGGTCAAGTCTCCGAGACCACAAAAGCCGTGTTAGCTGTCTCACGAGACAAAGAAAAAGTTTCCGTAGGTATATATGTACCTGTGTGTATGATGTTATGATGGACAGAAACGAGACACGCTACATAGGCAGGCCCAGGCTCCTGACTCCAGCAAATATTGATAATAATAAGTGGAGTAATTATAGTATAACTTAATGATAATAATTATTATAATAATAATAATATAATGCCTATGGATAAACAAGCCTACACCATGCAAGAAGATAACCCGTAGGGACTGATGGCAAGCCAGAACCTCTCGGGCTATCTTGTTGCATAGGTCAGTGTGTGTGTGTGTTTGTGTACGCGTGTGTGAGAGAGAGAGGTTTTTTTTGTGTGTTTGTAGGTGTACCATTGTACATGCTTATGCGTGCGATTGTGCTGTGTATAAAAGCATGTACTTGTGTCCATGTGTACATGAGCACATCTGTGCGCGTGTGTAGCAGTGAGTGTGTGTGTGTGTGTATGTGTACATGTGTATGTCTATGTGTATGTGCGTGTGTGTGCTTGCTTAGCCAGCAACACACAAGCGGGTGGGCACGAGATGACTTGCTCCCGACCGGCGCGCGCACACACGTAATGATTTATGTGTACCAAGGCCTCTTGCGGGCCCAGCGGATCGTGTATCCGGAGTCCACGCGAATCTTTATGGACGCGGCCTCTGCTGTGCGCACCGTCTCCTTCACGGCCTGCATCAGATTCTGTGCGTTCCCCACAAGCATCTCCGTCGCCTCTTGGTCTTCCTCTGAGCCTGTGGGAAGGTGGTACGCAATTTAGTGTCAGTTTTAGTAAGTTTTTTTTTACGGCATTTGCAACACATTAAGGTCATATAATATAAGAGCTGAAGACCGAAGATTTTTAGTTTTAGTAAGAGTTTTACGGCACTTGCAACACAATAAAGTCATATAAGTGCCAAAAACCGAAGATTTTAAGTTTTAGTAAGAGTTTTAAGGCACTTGCAACACAATAAAGTCATATAAGTGCCGAAGATTAGAGGTGTTACAAGAGAGTAACAAACATACAAAAAGGAGGGAAGAGAAGGACGATAGCTTTTGAAAGGAAAGAAAGAACCAACCACCCACTGGTACGCAATTCAACAGAGTGGTAAAAATGATAAATAATTATCAATTTCACCTATATATATGCAGCACTTCTACTACTTAAGAAAGTTCTCATTGCGCTCGATTTATTACACTAACCTCAAACAAATCTCATCAATTTTTTCCATAAAACTTTCCAGCAAAGCACTTCCACTGAGAAAATTTGAAAGTTAAAATCAATGCACTCAATATACCATTCTCACTTCAAACTGGTCCAGCAAATTCACTAGAGATGATGAAAAGTGACACAGTTCTTAGTTTCAGTAAAAGTTTTAACAATTATCTCAGTGGCAAAATGAACCAATTCCTGCTTAACTCATAACACACAGTGGGTAATTCCTCCTTTGTACACAGCCAGTTTTGATATTCACATTTTTCAGCATCCCAAAATTCCTTATTTCTCTCCTCCTCTATATACCCTATTTACTTAAAATCAACACCCAACTGCGTAGAAAGTGACTGATCAGAGCTGTAAACATACAGTTTGATTATAGCTCAAATGAACATCTCTCCCCCCCAGTTTTATGCGAGAAAAATTCTGAAATTATGCAAACTGAGCCCAAAAATGTGAAATTATGCGATTCTGTTAATTTTTAACAATGAATGATAAAGGAAAATAATCAGAAATTATGCAAAAAATGATCAAATTTGGCTAAATTATGCGGGGTGCATAAACCCACGGGGACAGGAATATTGCCAAAGTTTGGTAGATTTTTGTTGTGACCGTAAACAACCGAGCGATGCTGTAAACCAGCTAGACTGACGTGCCATGTACTAAGAGAGAGCGTTAACAAAGAAAGAGCACAAAGCTAGACTCGGCTCAATTCTGTGACATCACCAAAGCTAGACTCGGCTCAATTCTGTGACATCACCAAACTCTGAAGAGTTACGATACAACGTAAGCTAACAAACTCAGATCCCTTGTGAAAAAGGAAAGGCAAAAAAAAAACCTTAACCCAACAACAAATCAAAACCAAGAAAAAACAAAAAGTGACTCATGAAACATACCTACCTTTTCACATACATGTATAAGGTTACCAATATATATATATATGCACATTAGCTTAAAAATAACATACCCCACAAAATAGAAAATAAAGTCTAGAGATATCTAGAAAAGTGGTGAGCTCAAAACGTATTTTATGAGTCTAAGTTATCCTGTGCATTTTTTGAGTTAAAAATTTAGGCCAAAAAAAGTATCTTAGGCTGTAAATGTGACAGAAAAAAAGTACCAAACATAAAATTCTGTAACGTTACTTCAGAGGAACAGACTAAACTGACTAACTAAACCCAACTAAACTTTTCCGGTGTGGAGAAGGGGAATACTGACTGACTACTGCCGCATAATGTAAAACACAACAAGCAGCATACAGTTTAAACTGTTATCTTTTGATACAACGGTTACAATAGAAGGATTTATAATCCAACGATGCACAACACAAATAACGGGTAAGGAAAGAAAAACTATGAATTATCTATAGGAAGTGTCTATGTACTCCCCGATTGGGGTCTACGTAGTCTTGGTGTCTAGGTGGACCCCAAAAATGTTGGATTGTGATTGGCTCTCTGAGCGAGTGGTAGTTTACATTGGTTACAATGCAAGGCTACTGTTCATCTCGGGCGGTGTGTCGATCTAGTGTTACTATAATTTATTTATTTTAGCCCAGAGAGAGAGAGTATTTAATGAATAAACGTATCTAAATCAAGACTGAACTGCACACTCTTGGCTGGGTGCACAACAAAATCTAGATCTAGATACGTTTATTCATTAAATTATACTCTCTCTCTCTCTCTCTCTCTCTCTCTCTCTCTCTCTCCCTCTCTCTCTAGGCTAAAATAAATCAATTATAGTAAGACAAGATAAATCCAATCACTACCCGAGATGATCAGTAAGTAGGCTAGGCCTAGCAGCCTTGCATTGTAACCGATGTAAACTACCGCTCGCTCAGCGAGCCAATCACAATCCAACATTTTTGGGGTCCACCTAGACACCATGACTACGTAGACCCCAATCGGGGAGTACGTAGACACTTCCTTATCTATATATAGCATACTTGCAAGTTGGGAATGGGAAGAAAACGAATAACTGCATCATTCAGGAAAATTGGAACAACTTAACAAAGGTTTTGATATAAAGAGACTTTAGGATTTCTTATATAATTTAGGAAATTGATCAGGTAAAATCTTGTGATGGAAAGCAGGTAAAATGTTCACTCATCTTATTGTAAAAACAAAGACAGCATCGATGCAACAAGAAAAAACACATCTACCTGCACATTCTCCGGGCAAAATCCCCACAAGGCGTGCAAGTCAACCAATGTTCAAACAAGCACACACTCAAATACACACCACTAAAATACTCACACTTAATTAATATACTCCCATGCAAATAAAATTTTAAAAAGAAAGGGGAAAAAAAGAAACCCCAAAATAAACCAAAAAATTACAACAACTCCAATCCCCCAGACCCCCCCTCCCAAAAAATATTACCACATTCACATACCACATACAACCTACAACGTACAACACATAACACCCAACATGCACGTCAAGCATCACAAACAGACACACAAACAGACACACACACAGACCAACATACACACATTGCCGGCAAGCTGGTCAAATGTACTGATCTCAGAAAGCAACATTTTTCTTTCAGGAGAGAAGAGAAAAAAGGGTTTTATTTCTTTAACAGATATACCTACATTACATTCTGTATCGTTTCCTGTTTGTTTTTTTACATTTAGAATTTTAATTTCGTCTGAATATTTCTCATATAGATTCTACATGAAACTGACAACACAGATTATGAAACAGCGATTAAAGTTGTTTTTAAAGCTTTTAAAATTTTTGGCTAATTAGTGCATTTCAACATCTGGCCGACAAAAAACTTTTAGTGTACAACATCACACAACAGATAGCTCCCTGCTGAGATAACTACATGTCATGTATACACCAGACGGGACCTACACTAACATCCAGTGCACACCGACAGTCAAATTCAGTCAAACCGAGTCGGGGGGGGGCCAGCTAGATTAGTCTTCATGGAGAGGAAAAAGATCTTCCACTTTGGCACAATTTGATCAAATCCTCCAAAATCAAATGCGGTTCCTTTTGGGGGTTCTGATCAAATTGTGCCAAAATGGCAGCTTTATCCCCTCCATGAAGGAAAATCCAGGCCGGCCACGACTGTATCAACAAATGTATCAATTGGGCAATGATGTGCACAGGGAGATTCATCCTTTATCTATCTCTCTATCAATCACATCACACAACATCCCACACATTTTTCACATAAAAGAAGGAATGCATCAGAGGAAATATATTCGAGCACATGAGAATACAAAATGTAATCCGGGAAAAATCATAGAAGAGATGAAAGGCAGCTTTGGGGAGAGGAAGAGGAGGGAGGCAGGGGAGGATAGTGTCATTGATTCCTAGGTTTAGATGCTAAGGATGAAAAAGAGTATGGCTAAAGATGAAAAAGAGAATGGCTAAGGATGAAAAAGAGTACAGCTGCGACAGAAGGTCAAAAGAGGAAGGAAAGAACCATGAAGTTGACGAATACATGACCGGCTCCATAAGTAACTGACCACCACACACAAGTCTGAACAGCTTTATAGTAGGACTCTTCTGATTTATTCTAACAGTGCATCCAGTCGGAACAGCTGTATATAGGAATCTTGTGATTAAAATTTTTCTAACAGTGCATCGAGTCGGAGTGACTGAACAAAGAGAAGGGTATCCATGAAATCACAGTCGTTTAGCGCTGGGGAAAAGCGATACAGAGAGCTAGGCGGAAGCGTTGGTGGACGAGAAGGAGAAGAAAAGAAGAAAAAAATAATAAATAAATGTCTGCCACCTCTAAGAGAACTGCATGAAGAGAGAAGTATCTCGTACAGACTGTGAATATACATATACATATAATATATATATATATATATATATCGTCATCTGAGTATAACAACCCTGTAGTAACCCACACTATGTCAAAAACACTTTTCTTTTTTTTTTTGCTTGTTTCTACTAAATTTTCTACTAAACGTAACGTTGCGGACTTAGTGTCAAATTTCTAGATTCTACATGTAGCTCAATAAACATCCCCAGTGCAACATTCCGACTTACATTTTGAAACAAACATTGTCAGATGAATTGACAAAGTTTTTTCCTTCTCCTGTGAAATTTTGCTTTTGTGGGATACAGGGTTGTCGTACTCTGGCGACGACATAATATATGTGTAGGAAGAAAGGTGGCCTTATAATTAATTCATGAGGAGTGAGGGATTGAGGGGTGGGGGGCAGATTCCGAGCCGCTACGTCAGCTACTTACTAGACTCTGGGGAATTTCCAGGGCAGCAAAATAAAAGAATAAAATTATACATGAGAGAGAAAGAGGGGGGGGGAGAAAGACACAGAGAGAGATGGGGAGAGGGAGGGAGAGAGAGAGAGAGAGAGAGAGAAAAAGAGAGACAGACAGACAGACAGACACACAGACAGACAGACAGAGAGAGAGAGAGAGAGAGAGAGAGAGAGAGAGAGAGAGAGAGAGAGAGAAAGAGAGAGAGAAAGAGAGAGAGAAAGAGAGAGAGAGAGAGTGTGATCAAGAGAGTGAGAAAGACAAAGAGAGAGGGAGGGACGTTACGAAAAAGAAAACAATTTTAACCAGTTAAATTAAAGCCCCAAAAAATGGAAGAGAGGAGGTTTCAGGTTCGAGTTTGAGTAAGGAGTTTTGCAGCACTTGCAACACAAATAGGTCATATGAATGGCGAAGATTAGAGGTGTCACTCCACAGTTCCAAACATACAAAGAAATGAAGGAGGAGGGATAAAGACAATAGATGTTTGATAAGAAAGAAGGGGCAAACCACACCAGAACACCCGCCAACAGCCCACTCACACTATCATGCATAACCCTTTATGGTACTTCACCATGCAAACAACAACAACGTATCCCATCATCATACATCACAGGTGCAACTTTTGTGTGTGTGTGTGTGAGTGTGTGTGTGTGTGTGTGTGTGTGTGTGTGTCTGTGTGTGAGTGTGTGTGTGTGTGTGAGTGTGTGTGTGTGTGTGTGTGTGTGTGTGTGTGAGTGTGTGAGTGTGTGTGTGTGTGTGTGTGTGTGTGTGTGTGTCGGTGTGTGTGTGTGCGTGTGAGTGTATGTGGGGAGGGGGGGGGGAGGATGTGTTCAGCGCAATTCTCACAATTCTAAGGGTGTGTTTGACTGACTATAAAAACAGGGGGTGCCTTTTTCATGACCATTTGGGTGCGTTTGTCTAACCATAAGGGTGTGTTTGTGTCTAGATCAGGCATTGATCACGACTGCATAGGAACCGAGGGTGGGGGAAGGGAGGTAAGCATTCAAGAGATATAGCAACAGTGGTCGAACAACAAAAACAAAAACATTACTGACAAAGATTCTTTTTTTTCACAAGTAAATGCTTTTTACATCGACAAAACATAATTGATTTTCATTTTTTCGTGGGGGGGGGGGGAGTTGGTTGCTTTTTTTTTTCTTGTTGTTTTTGTTTTTTGTTCGTCTTTTTTTTGTTTTTTATAAAATGTTGACATATTAATGTTGAACGACAAACAAAACAAGGAATCAATCAATCAATCAATCAATCAATCAATCAATCAATCAATCAATCAATCAATCAATCAATCAATCAATCAATCAATCAATCCATTAGAAGATGCATAATACTCTACAGATTACTAAAAACACAATCTATTCACTAACAAACTCATTCAGTATTTTGTTCAACTCATCCCATGCTGGTTATTGATTTTAAACCAAAAAAAACACAAAACAAAACAAAACATAACAAAACAAAACTTATTTAGTTTTAAAAAACCCCAAAGTTTGTTGTGTTTACCACAAGCTATTTCGCTTCCGTCTGGGGCCGGGATCGGTTCTGTTGTGACAGAGATAGAGCGGTCAACGACATGGGGCAATGGGTACTCAACACACTATCTGGAGAACCTTTCAGTTTTAGTAATTTAAAGTAAGAGTTTTACGGCACTTGCAACACAAACAGGTCAAGTCAGGGCCGAAGATTAGAGGTGTTGTTACTAGAGAGTAATATACATACAAAAGAAAAAAATCGAGGAGAGACTTTTAGTAGAGGATTTACGGCGCTCGCAACTGCATAAGGTCATAATATGAGCGCCAGAAGATTAGAGGTGTTACAAGAGAGTAACAAACATAAAAAAGAAGAAGGGGAGACAAGGACGATAGATGCTTCATAGAAAAGAAGAAGCAAACCACACCAGAGCACCCGCCAACCACCCACGAGGAGGAGAGATAAAGACAATAGAAGTTTGACGGGGAAAGAAGAAGCAAACCACACCAGAGCACCTGCCCAACCACCCATCACTGTTATCTGTATACCTACAAAATGTAGGTTGTCATGACAACATAAAGCAAAGGACAAAAACACATGACAGACATATCAACTCGAAATCAGCGAGCACTTTGTTCCACAGGAGTTCCAAACGCAAACACACAGTGGACACAGTTTTTGTTTTGTCTTGAGTTAGTTTTAGTAAGAGTTTTACGGCACTTGCAACACAATAAGGTCATATTATAAGTGCCCAAGATTAGAGGTGTTACAAGAAAGAGAGTAACAAACACAAAAAAAGGAGGAGGGGAGAAAAAGACAGTAGACTTTTTAAAGGAAAGAAGGAGCTAACCACACCAGAGCACCAGAAAAACCACCCACTTTTTGTCTTGAGTTATGGGAAACCAAGGTAATGATAGAGGGGAATAATTGCAAGACCGACAGACAGGTTCAGCAGAGTAGAGCTGGGCGAAGAGTCAATTCTGGAACCGATTCCCGCGATTAATACTAAGGAAGTCAAATTCCGTCTCCTTTTTACGTAGACCAACGGTTGCCAGTTATTTTTATCATTAAAATCTTTTCAACAAAGAATTTTTTTTTTTTTTAAAGAAGTTGATGCTTCGTAGTGTTCCGAAATCAAGGTTAACCTAAATCCTGAAGATGTACGGCACCAATCAGGTAACCACAGGGGGAAAAATCACATCATTAGAAAGTAAGTTCGGAGTCGATTCCTACGATTCCTAGCTTTCAATAGTCGGGAACCTAGCCGCCCAGCACTACAGCAGAGAGGACAAGACAAGAAGTAGGATCTACAAGGGGGTTCTAGAGCAACACCCAACGAATCGTGTTACCCTCACAAGACATACGCAGGTCATTTCAAAACTCATTTCTGCTAGACCTGACCTGTGGAGGAGGAGGAGGAGGAGGAAGGGAAAGAGGAGGAGGAGGAGAAGGAGAAGGAAGGAGAAAAGAAGCAGTGGAAAGACAAGGAGGGAGAGATGGAAAAGAAAGAGAAGGAAGAGGAAGATATGGAGGCAGAAAAAGAAAAGGAAAATGAGTTTAAAAAATGCAAATGAGGAATGAGAGGAGATGGAGGAGGAATGGGAGGAAAAGCAACAACTGCGAAGGAGACACGCATGAAATGAGCGTAAAACGCAGGAGGGAACAACAACAACAAAATACAGCTAGACAGCACAAAGTCAGCAAGCTGTTCAAATTTCAATGTACCCAACCCAAAAAGCAACAGTTTTCAGACGAGGGGAAAACACTGTTTCATTCTGTTCACAATTGAGCGTAATTTACTACGTATCTTTTCTTGACTTTTTAAAAATTTAGAATTTGAATTTTGGCTAAATATTTCTTGAGCACATGCATCAAATACAACAATTTAAAAAACTGCAATATAATTTTGGGCTGTGTACATCTGAACAGCCAGCTGACGATAAACAAAAGCTACACAGGAAATGAGCAGCAAAACAAACAGCCTGTCAAGACGACTCGCTCACTCAATGTCACAGGGACAGAACGTGAGACAACGCGAGACAGAATGCGAGACAGGATGAGAAACAAAGCGAGACAGAATACGAGACAGGATGAGAAACAAAGCGAGACAGAATACGAGACAGGATGCGATACAACGCGCACGAGACAGGACAAAAAGCCAGCAGCAATGAAAGTAGAGGAAACAACCCAACGACCCAATTTTCCTGCATTTGTCTATCAAAGAGCAAACCTGCGGTTATCCGAAGTTTTAAAACAATTCTTTTCTCAAACCTGCAGTTATCCGAAGTTTAAAAAAAATTACTTTCTTATCTGAAATTTGAAAACGTAACTGAGCAATAAAAGAGCAAAACAACATCTTCCTCTGAAGGGTTTCGGCACTCCTTCTAAAACTATTCCTACAAAATCTCTACAGACTGAAACCATCACCTCAAGGGGAAGTCTAGATTTTCTTTAAAACAAACAAACTAAACCATGGGAGGCAGGGAGGAAACATAGGAAGTCAAAAAAGTCTACGTCTAAGCACCAAGTCTCACAGGAGTGGATGGGAGGGAGGGAGAGGGAGAGGGAGAGAGAGAGGAGGGAGGGAAAAAAAGGAGGAAGGGGGACAGGGAGAGAGAGGGAGGAGGGGGGGAGGGGAATAAAGGGGGGGGGGGAGGAGGGAGAGGAGGCGGCACAAGAAAAGACAAACAGCTGTATGTATCACTAATTCTTTTTTTTAATGTTTTTTTTACCACAGGCAATGTCGCTCCCATCTGGGCCGACCAGAGGCTCTGGGAGGTGGAAGAGCAAAAGTTCACAAAACAAAACCGAAAAAAAAAACGAAGCAGAAATAAGAAACAAACCAAAAATAAACAAAAAAGAAGAATTCTCCGACAGACAGGTGTAGAGAGTACTGTAACACAAAAATATGAAACTAAATGAATATATTGAGTGGTGGATGCACACACAATACCAAAAAACAAACAAACAAAAAACAAAACCAAAAAAACAACTGCAGTAAAAGACAAAAAAGGAACGAAAAAAATTGAGAGAAAGTGAGATAGAGAGACATAGAGAGACACAGAGAGAGAGAGACAGAGAGAGAGAGAGAGACAGACAGACAGACAGTGAGACAGAGAGATAGAGAGAGAGAGACAGAGGGAGTCTATCATAACAACAATATACAGGAAAACAACTGTCAGTATTTCCAGTTGATCATAAATGAACAAACATTGTCAAATCTCAACAACTCTTGGTGAAGACAAAAAAAAGTTGTCAAAACAAATTCTCAACTCATCAGAGGAGATGATCACTCATTACCAAAGTGAAGAAGAAAAGAAAAAAAAAATTATGGAAAAAAAAAATCCATGGAAACAGAAAGCATGGGACTTTTCAAAAATAAAATAAATAGATACAAAAAATTGAAGATAAAATCTCAAATACAAATGCCTTTGGGGAAAAAAAAGAATGAGAATTTCTGGGGCACTTAAAGGACGGAGAAAAACATTACGAAGAAATAGAAGAAAGGGCGAAATTGACCACGCCATTCGAAGAAAAGAGTAAAATGTTCGAAGGACAAGTAACGAGCAAAGAAACATTTGAAGTAAAAAAGGAAACTAAAAATATCGGAGACAGTTGAAGAAGAAAAATCGTAGAAGATACCAGCATTCAGATAAAAAGATAACAATGCCCGAAGCAAAGAGCAAAACTATTAAGTAAATTAACAAAATCTAAATGTCTGAGACAGTTGAAGAAAAAAGATCTTGAAACGAAATTTCACAGAAAAAGACAAAATGCTGGAATCAAAGAGCAAAACTATGAAGTAAATTGAGAAAATGTCAGTGCCCAAGACAGTTGATGAAAAAATTCTTGTTATCATAAGAAACGAGATTTCGCAGAAAAAGACAAAAATGCTCAAAGTATTTGAAAAAAAAAAAGACAGAGATGAAAAGCTTAAGAAGCTCAAACCAAATTGGTGGTTGTCTTACACTGGTCTAACACAAGCCTGAAATCTACACACACACACATACATACATACACACATACGAGACAAATAAAAATAAAAGGTTAGACCACAGATGAAACTTCAGGACATCATTGACTTTTGTTGAGCGTGATTTCAAAGAAGTAGCACATCCGTATCATAACTATCTTTTAGCATGGGAGGGAAAAGCTCGGACAGACAGACTGAAAGAACACGACACTTGCAACACAAATAGGTCATGTAAGTGCTGAAGATTAGAGGGGGGAACAAATAGAGAGTAACGTACAAAATAAAGAAGGAGGAGAGATAAGGACAATAGGTGTTTGACAGGAAAGACGGAGCAAACCAACAGCAGAGCACCCGCCAACCACCCACTGAACCTGTACCCTTTGGTTCCGTATAAGAGTAAAAGGTAAAAGGAAGAACAAAGACCTGCTTGTCATTTAGCACCAGGGAAAAGTAAGACAGACAGACAGACAGACAGACAGACAGACAGACAGACAGACAGACAGACAGAAAGAAAGAGAAAAAGATAGTAGGACCCCCAAATGTAAAAAGGGTGGAAAGAGGGTATAAGGTACCCAGTAAAGACACATAAAGGATGAGATATATAAGAAAAACAACAGAAATTATGGTAAAAAATATGATAAATTTAGTAAAGATACAGAAAGGATTGTTAAAAAGTATGAGAAATTTAGTAAAGATACAGAAGGGATAGTAAAAAGTATGATAAATTTAGTAAAGATTCAGAAAGGATGGTTAAAAAGTATGATAAATTTAGTAAAGATACAGGAAGGATAGTTAAAAAGTATGATAAATTTAGTAAAGATACAGGAAGGATGGTTAAAAAGTATGAGATATCTAATAAAGGCAACAAAAGAATAATATGATAAATGTAGTTGTTTTTACACCCCCATTGACACAAGTTAGATCATTTAGAAGACAAGCTTTGACCCTGCCTGTCAGGGCCAACCTGGGCCGAGAGGGATACAACATCCCAGCAGAAAGACCGAGGTACTCGATAAAAACTCTCCCCACTCGGGAAGCAAACTCGGGTCTCCTGTGTGCAACAGCGAAGCACCCTAACCGCTACACCACAGACTCCAGTGAATAGCTCAAGATATCATGTCCTGACATAGAAAAGTGGGAAGACTTGGAATGCAAGCGGCTAACCCAGGATAGGGAAGGATGGAAAGTGTTTGTTCATAGCCTATATCCTGATCCAGGGTGAGAAAGGCATAGATGATGATGATCATCATCATGTCCAAACACATTGTTCTAGTAAGAGTTTTACGGCACTTGCAACACAATAGGGTTATTTAAGTTCCGAAGATTAGAGTCGTTACAAGAGAGTAACAAACACAAAAAAGAAGGAAGAGAGCAAGGATGACAGATTATGTTTGTCAGGAAAGAAGGAGCAAACCACATCAGAGCACCCACCAACCACTCACGCCCAAGATATTGTGTCCAGACACAATTTTTTAAAAAAGAAGGACGGCAGAAAAGAACGCGACATCATCGCCGTGTAGGACGGTGGAAGTGCGTGTCGCTGCGAGCGTGAACAAACACACACACGTACCTTGGGCTCCCAGCATGGTGGCTTTGACTGTGGACAAAATCTTGAGCTGCGTGCCGATGGTGGGGATCCTCTCACACACGTTCAGCAGGTTCTGGGGGCGCGCGGGGCGGGGCATGACGCACAAACGACGCAGGGGGGGGGAGGAGAGGG